CGTGTCCAGGTGGTAGGAGACCCTTCAGATATTTTTTATAGTATGGGGGGCAAACGAACAGACGGATCGCCTGATGGTAAGTAACTATCGCCGCATATAGACACAAGCAACTCGACGGTCACAGGTCACAAGACGGTTGCCGCCCTTTCAGTTCTCCCCTCCAGAATCGGGGTCAATATGTATGTTTTTTAGCAGTCTGGTTACCATAGCACAGGCTCTGTCTAGTTTGGAATCAGACGGCCGTCAGTGAGAGCTGTGAATAAAAAAAAAGTTCGTTCGATCCTTGGCCATTTGTGCGGAAGCATAGTTCTCCCATGATTATTTTTGGTTGGCTTTAACAACGGCTTTAAAGAAAACGAGGTGATGTGACTATCCAGTATATCGCTCCATAATGAACCATCATTTCTTGCTCTGCCGTGCAAATCCATGACGTTGATGCGTCAACGTCAACCAGCATACTTGACTGGACGAAACGATAATAATTCCATAATCTTAGAAAACAAGGGGGTTATGGCTGGCCTGTAGTTGGACGGATCAGCGCGGTCATCTTTTTTCGACGTTGAGATCATCCAGCAAGAAACAAACCCGCCTTCATGGATTGGACGCAAAGAGCGCATCCCATCCCAGTCGGCTGACCTATAGTGACATACGCGGACAGCCTGCAACACGCAGCTACAGTGAGTACATGAGTGGCACCGCACTCCGGATTAGGGAATGATCAGAGAAGTCAAGTAGGGCCCTAACGGTGACCTTAGTAATCCTTGGCTTCCAAATGCCAAGGTCACCGTTAGGGCCCTACACAACGCCTTGTGAGCGTTAAAGTCGCCAAGTTTACGAGCTCTGCGGATAGGATTTGCTGCAGCACAGTATCTGTAGCCATTTAGACATGGTCCATTAGTCGGTCAGTTTCGGTATCACCGCTATGGGACCTGTAGAGGCATGCATAGACGCGGGTCCAACACCACGGTGGACAGCGTTGAGGTTTGAGTGTAGACTCCTGATGTTGCAGAAGTGGTGAGGGGTGACCTTATGTGCCCCTCTCCCCCAGATGCATGGTGTTCTGAGCTTGGCCGTAGAGAGGGGGATGCATCAGATACAGTGTTGTGGCAAAATTAATAACTTACGTTTCTACAAGGCAAAACACTGTAATTGGTTTTACAGTGTTTTGCCATGTTCTGGTACCATTAAGACTTGGCAAATTTATCGTGTCAATACAAGTTAGTGGCAAAATCTTTTTTTTCTAAGTGAATTAATAAAAAAAGTACTCGGCTATGTAGTAAGTATATACAACTAATACATACGTAAAATTAAGTGATGAATAAAAAAATCAATTCCCTGTTACAAACGTTAATTGTCAAAAATCTCATAATTCGTTTTCAGAAGTTAGTGTATTGGATTGGCACGGCAGCGCTGAACAATGATTTGTGCGGAATGCGCGCCTCACGTTCGAGATATTTGATTTAGTAAATTTTAATGTTTGCGACACAGAATATTTATCAACTCCTAGGTTAAGTAGGCGTCATGGTCTGTTGTTTACTATGTATTGTGTTTAAATATGTTAAAATAAAGGGTATTGTATACAGACTGAGAGTGAACGCTCACTGATCGTAAAAACGCTTGACAGAAAATAAAAAAATATTCCCGTTTTTGTTGACAATTCTATTAGCATCTTACTAATCATTACTTTGCAATATTTAAATGTAATGCCCTGGTTGAGATTAACTTTACGAGATTTTAAGTTTCACCATTTTTTTAACTCGCAATCGCAAAGTTTTGACCCCTAATTTGGTGGTCAACAAAGTTGGTCGAAATTTAAGAGTGAACTGAATGCATGAAAGATATATCCTGCAGCAGTTTACATCTTTCTTGTAGTCTTTAGAACAAAAAAGACTTTGTACTGTATCTATGAAGACCAGCAAAACTATCTATTTCTTTATAAACGTAGTAAATTCGATGTATATTTAATTGGTTCTAAATGAAAGTGTTTTAAATTATTTAGTAGAGGTAAAAACAACATACTCTCTGACACTGACCACTACCAGTGCATTATATCAGGTTTCTTATCGACCACAATAGAAACTTTCCATAGTTGCATTAGTCAAGTGACAGTCGGATTCAGAACCAGAGATTTTTAGGCCGTTCTCTTAGGCACCTACATTCAAATCGTATCTATTCAAATTGTTTATCTATCTCTGTAAGTATTAAGCTGCTTTCTTAAAGTTCTCTTAATCTTATCGAGGTTTATAAATCGTTTATTCTAAGGATCGTGGTACCTGATCTTGTTACTTGGATATACAATTCGTAATTTCAAAATGATTGAGTGGTTAGCGGTCCTGTCCCTATACTGCGTCGGTACAGGAAGTAGACTCATACCACTCACGAACGAATTGCTGCGAATGTGTTTTTGATTTTGCATTTGGGTTTATTTATTTTACTTAATATAGAAGGATCATCCTAAAAATCTTAAATTACTGTATTAAGTCGCTAATGAGCTATTAATGAACAACGAATTTAACATTGTACCAGTTTGAATAGATAAAGTGTATAATTAATTGACTGATCGACGTTAATGACAAAGTCAATTACAATCATGTTGGCAGTAGTTGTTATTTATTTCATATTTTCACCGAAGCGTCTTAAAGTTGTATTAATCTACAGGTGTCGTAGGTCAAATTATGATCGAAGATTTCTCTTGAAGATTTTGTCCTTTAAAAGTATTTTAACACGTGTGACGAGGTTTAACATCCGGGTTTTTTGATTTTTAGTCATTTTAATGTTAATCGACCGATGATTAAGTAACAAGAAATATGTTAATGCAATAATTATTACGGTTTTTAAGGTTCCGTACCTCAAAGGGAAAAACGGAACCCTTACAGAATCACTTTATTGTCCGTCTGTCTGTCTGTCAAGACCCTTTATCTCGGGAACGCGAGAACTCGTGGCGGCCATCGGAGTGGGAGTTCTCTCGCTCGATAGCCTGATTGCGGTTATCGTGCGGAGCGAGAGTGCGTGGAACTCTGCCGTCTCCTTCTGCGAGCAAGTTATGCTCGCGAAGGAGACGGCGGAGCGGGACCGGGAGAGGTTTAGAACTCTCCCGGCCCGCTAGGCCCGAGAACGGGCCACCCGACCCGCCACCCGCAGGCGACTCAGGCGCCGGAGGTCGCAGGACGACCTCTGTCCTCCATAAGCGCAGGCCTGGGGGTGACAGGTTAGGCCATCTGTGACTCTAGCAGGGGGGGGGGGGGGGTCGTCTACTCGTCTGTAGATGGCCCGAGGTATGTCGGGGCACCAGGGACTTCCTTTCTAGGGTATACCTGGTTCCCCGGCTATTAGTACCCGAGACGACGTGCGGTTTTAGTCGGTTCGAGTCAGACATGCCACCATGGTGGTATCCGAGGGGATTTCCGCACGGAAAAAAAAGGGGTAAAACAGTAGTTACTGCTTAATAAAGCATATAATTTTCAAAGGTCGGTGATACAAAAAATAACACTAATCAAAATCCCTTGCCACCCATGAAAATGGCCTAAAAGCCTATTCGTCACGGATCTTAAGCAGAAATGTAATCTTGTTGGATTACTTTGTTAAACAGCCTTCCACAAATGCTTAAGTATGGAGGCAAGGTATCAATGTGGCGTTTTATGTTAAATATTATAGTAAATTAGTTATTATGTATTACAATCAATTAATATATTATGTGATTAGTGTCAGTATGATTACATTTTTATATCAAAGTTAGAATTATCCTCTAAAGAATCCTGAACTGAGTTATATATATATTTTTCAATTAACAATTGCCGTAAATTTCTTCTGAAATTATCTATTTCGACCATATTAGTTATTGCTGATGGAATTTTATTAAATATGCGAGGACCCAAGCAAAAGACACTATTATGCAAAAAATTTGTTCTGCTGTTGATAATTTATGGCAACTAGCTCTACATAAAATGTAATCACAATTATTACATAACTATAACAAGTAAACCACTATGTAAAAGCACTTCTTGACAAATACAACGTAACCGCAAGATGTCTGTGACTGCCAATAAGGCGGCATGCAGTCGATTTCTATATCCATCACTGAAAAACGTGTAAGTACGAGTACATAAAGCTTTATCTTGTGTGAACTTAGGTTTCATATTAACAAAGGTGTGAATCGTTTTATTCATAGATACAAATCAATTCCTGGTGTAGTTAGCTAGCTATGAAGAGTCAACGGCGGGTCTGTTGGTCTAGTTTTTAGCGATCTAAGTTTAGCTAAGCCACTTGTTGTTTGTTTTTTATTGATTCTTTTTTTTTAAATAATAAACACTGAATTATTTTAAAAAGTGGATTATTTAAGAATTGACTGCACGTATGGCACAATGGTTAAACGATCGCCGTGCTTCTAAAAAGCGCCGTGTTGTCGTTTCATAACTTTCATATCGACGTATTTTTCCGTGATCTGCCATCTACTCGTATACCTATGTATAAGTAATAATAAAAAATAAAATACTAGTTAGCATACTAGTAGCAGTATTATCGCGTTGTATAGCTATACGTAAGTAATACATGTTTATTTTATTGTGTGTTAAAATTAGGGCAAAGTACTAAACAATCATTTAATATCTATGTATATTGTCTATGAGTTAGCTCAGTCGCAGACAGCTGGCAAAATTTTACTAGTGAAAGTAATTTAGAGAACTGCAAAAAAAATGTGTGCGTTGACCTTATTAAAAAAAAGTATACATTATGCAAGTATGTACATGGGCATAAATGGGTTATATTATTTTCACAGATTTTTATTCAAGAAACTAAGTGTTGATTTCCTAATAAAGCAACACTAAAGCAAACCAAACAGCTGACCTTCACACAAATGTTCTTTATCTCTAGTATCTATATTTTGCGGTAGAACTCTATCTAAGTGTGCCAACAGGCCACGACTAACACACTCTTTTATGATATTCCTCTAGCATAACTATATGTGTGACGTCACGTGCAACAATAGGCGTGCCAATTCGTCAATGAACAGCGCAAACGCACGACATGGCCGCCACAAGATGGCGGCGGTGAAAGTGGCCGGTGTCCGATGGTCGCTGCCACCGCCGCCGCTACGGTAAATCTTTGCACAACCTGTTCTGAATGTTATAATTATAACTAATACTGGAATAATTGGTTGCTTTTAAACAAGCAGTGTGTCTGCTGAAATCAGCAATTTACTTCATATATTGTAGTATAATTGACTTGGACTGGTTTATGCGAATAGATAATCATAAAATAGTTGTCTAATCTGTATCATAGTAAACTATATAGGTCGAACTAATGGAATAAGATCTGTGAATATTGACCACTAATTATTTATTTAAATAAATAATGAAAATTTAAAATAAAATAATATTGCGATTTACTGTAATCCGTTTAAAAGTAAAGAAAAGAACGTAGTAAGCATGAAAATCTAAGAAGATAAGGTTTATTATTAGGTAAAATCCACCAATGTCAATGCGTATTTTTTGATATGGCAATCTGTATTGACCCTGATCGTAGATTGAGGCCGTTGGTGGTTTCGCAACGTGCGCTGCGTCCGCGCATCACATCCGTAACTTGCGCTCCTAACTGTATCACCTACATACATGATCACGCGAACCATTGTTAAACACTTATATCCTGTTAAATCATATTACAGATTACGTATACTCAAGTCATATCGTTAGTGTTAAGTTTATTGTTTCAGTTAATAGCGGCATAATTGCGTACTTGTCCAAATCAATAACAATATGACAATTTGAAGTCTAAGGATGACGTACGGAGGAAAATCTTAGATGGTAACAGATTTTGCTATTCCGTGTGACTAGTGATGTACCGGATCGTTTCAAATGTAGGTATATCCGCATATATGGATACGAATTGTTAGTGTCTAGATCTGCAAATACGCATCTCGAATATTATTTTAGATAATGCCTTGTTCTTGAAAGCACTACACTTGGTTTTTTACATAGGATTCCAATTCAAAATATCTTTTTTCACAAATCTTTAAAAATGTTTGAAATCGTCTTTTATATAAACTCTAAAGTCGTAGATCAACACACACACAAGAACAACAATCTCTATTGTGCCAAATAGTTTTTTTTTTTTTTTTTTTTTATTATTTATTTAAAGGGCTTTGTCGCTGTGCGACCACATCGCCCTGTGACAGTACGAATATATTAGTTAACATCTAACATAGACACATCTCTACCAATTTATATAATTTCCGGGCTTCAACCGACACAGGGTTAGCCAGAACACTATTACAAAGGCCGATATTCATACCTCTCGAGACCCCTAAATGTTCCCTGTAAGTTCTGTTCCTTACACATTCAAAAATAATGTGTAATATATCATCGGTTACACGGCAGTCCTCACAGTTGGGAGATGAGACTTTTCCCATTAAAAATGCGAATTTCTTAGAAGCTATATGACCTGTTCTCAACCTTAAGGCAGTTACCAAAGCTTTTCTATTAAGTTCCACGTTTTCGATCCATGGGTATTTAGGTACTTGCGGCTGTATTGTACGGTACCAAATACCTTTCTCTCTCGATCTCTCATCAAAATACTCCTGCCAACACATATGACATTCCTCTTTTACGACTCTGGTGTAGTCAGTATGTAAAGGCAATACTTTTATGTGCCAAATAGTTAAGAAACTAAATTTAATAAAAATTACACTTATACAAAATCTATGATATGCCTGCGCCGATCTACAACCGGCTGAATAACAAAATAAAATCATCAAACATAGATTCAAATAAATGTAAATTTAGTATGGATACTAAATGACATTTAAAGGTGTGTCATCGGTAAGACCCCTCCATGTCTCGGAGAATAAGATGAGTTGTTGCGTCTCAGCCCGGCGGCTGTAGCAATAAATCTACATCATCTTTCCAATTTGAACTACACTTGGAATATATGACTGTGTGGGTAGATCCAAAATTGTGGGTATATGATTTATACCTACAATAACTTTATAATGCAGCCTGGTTTGCAAGGTATCAAATTTTGTTTTGATTTCTTAATAGGGTCTTCAAACTTACATCACGTAATTAAGAGCGAAAATGGCACAAAAATAGGTCTTGGCGGACCAGCAACAAAAGACGTTTATAAAACAATTATTGCGATACTAAAATTTAAGTCTAGGCCCAAACAACAGTAACTTAGTTGCTCCTGGCATCGGTGAACGTTAAAGGATTCTTTGTAATAGAGTTCCTACACCTTCCCTTTATAGCGTTACTTGTTCATTTACGGAGCAACTGGAAAGGCTTCGGAAATGGCCGCACTTGTTGAAAATATAAACTTGATTATTTTAGTAGTTTTAAATACATGTCAATTTTGCAAAATATAGTTAATGACCATAATAGTTTTATATACAGTTATGTCACATTTATTAATCGTCTTGGTATTTGGCTTGTTGTTCCTATGGGCAATAATAATAGGCTGCCAATTGACTTGTTAATTTGCAATTGTCTTTCCTGTCAATCAATGAAAGGATACTTGAATAAACAATTCCTGCCTTATAAAATCACGACGCATGCCTCCGTTTGTGGTTGCTAGGTACATGCACACATACTAACACTATGTCGGTTTCAACTATTAAACTGTTGACGATTTACTCGGTGGCTGCCAGACAGCAAATTTGTTTGTTTATTGTTTTATTTTACATATTACTTTGATGTCACTATAAAGCGATATTTACTCATTATTAGCGATCACGATACGAGCTCATTATCACGATATTTAGCTCACTTCAAAATAGGTTGTTAATTTTAAAGTTAGAATTAAATTACCTCTTTTTATTTTTAAGTAACCCTTGACTATACTGCTTCTCAGTTCAATATCACTGACCTCGAGGTATAAAAAGTCAAGTACCTATTACAAAAAGTCAGAATCCCTATCGCAGTGGTAAACGCAGTGGTCTTTCAAAATTGACAGAAAGATACATTAGCCAAAGTTTACGACATATGTTGTATTCATGAAACATGGTGACGAATTAAGAATACGGAGTGTCACCACCCCTATTCAATCCGTGGGTGTCGTACGAGCCGACTAAGGCAGCAAACTACGCAGGACAAAGAGAAGGAAAACTTGACACAAACCCCATACCAACCCGTCTGGCCAGCGTAGCATAGTTGGCCGAAACCTTTCATAGGAGAGACCTATGTCCTGCAGTGGACATTGAAGCCTGTTGATGTGATGTGATTCATGAAACTAAAATATGTATAAATATTAAACTACATTATTTTGCAAGCCAAATCAAAAGAAGAAAACCTATACAATTATTGTAATAACGCATCGAAGAAACGATATTTTTATTTAAGAACAATTAAAACTACCCGCGATGGTAGTAATAGTTGTAATAGTCTTAGCTTAGCTGATATTTCTCGTTCAAGGATGATTATAGTACTAATAGAACAATATTTTATCAGTTGTTACTGTGTCTGCCTGTTAGTAGATAGGATTATCTAATCTAATCCCTAAATTCGTATATAATAGGCCTATTGGTTTAGTGGTTAGTGACACTTACTGGTAATCCGGAGGCCGTGGGTTCGATCGCACCCAGGCCAAATAAGTACGATTATTAGTTCTATGTCTGGATGTTATTCACTTATAATATAAATGTCTTTAGAAATATAAAAGTATCAGTAGTCAGGTTACCATGGCACAGGCTCTGTCTAGTTTGGAATCGGGCAGCTGGGTTATATATAAAGTTATGATTATTATTGAAAAGATGTGACAGTTGCTTTTCTAATAATTTCCTTCATACACAATTTTATTTTGTTCACAAACTTTGTTTGAGTGTGTCTGGTAATAGAAATAGTAATAACAGATCAGATACAAAATTCTGTCAGGATGGATACTTGCAAGTTTACAAACCATAATATAAAAAACAATTTTAACAGTATATAACGAAACAATAGCCAGAAATCGACACTCGTGTATTAATGGGTATAAATCAGACAAACAGTCAGGCTTGCTGATGAATTATTATGAATCATGGCCGCGTGTAAAGCAATCTTGCTCAATTACTGCCGAATGCCTAACCTTGCGTTTTCGCGAGGAAGTGACGTCACTGGGCCTGGTTGAACTTACCAGATATTATAAGTATCTGTAGTTTTTTTAATACATTTACAATCAGATGAATCAATTTGAATATTCTTAAAATTAACACCATTCAATGCAGTGCGTCATTGCATTGGGGGGTTTGCTTACGGAAAATATTATTATTTATAGCTTTTTTTGGTTTAACGAATATTATCAATTTGATATTTGATGTTGATCAAATTCTGCAATTTGGCTAGTTACTTATGTATTTTACATATTTCGTAACTGCTATTCAAACTCATTAGACTTTTTAATAGCTAATGAGTTAGTGTTGGCTGTTCTAAATCTATCAAAACAAACCACAAGTTATGTGGTCGACCTGGGGCCTATATGATCATGACTAGTGCAACCTGGTCGAGGTGTCAGACAATTTCAGGTTATGTCAAACCGTTAACCGTGTTATTTGCCGTATAAGTAATTATAAATCATTGAACGCGAAAGTTTAACTTAGTATAGTATTAGATCGAAAATAATTAACCAATTACGCGTTACCAATAGTTAGTCTTTCAGTATGATTATAAATTGAATCTTTTATATCTATAAAAAATGTTCCGATAACCTATCGACCGCCGTTGGTGAGGGCTAGGACGATAGGAGCGCGGACGTCGAGACAAAGTCGAGGCCATTAACCTCTGGCTATCAGCTGACGACATCGTTCCAACCGCGAGGAATTATCTTTCACGCCATATTTCGGTCGTTCACTACCTTTCGTCACGGAAACAAGTGACAGTCTGCCAAATACGACAAGAGGGCTACGTGAAAGTTTATTGTTAGATATTCCCTTGAAGTTCGTCCAAAACTTCACAATGAGTAGGTACAACAAGATCAACCTCGTTAAAGTAAAATTTGTGTTACGCACCGTTTAAACGTAATGTTTTTGAACGCAAATAAAAATGAAAATCATCGGACATCGGACTACAAGCGTGAATCAAAAAAAATCCAGTTGCCTACGTTATTTTGGGTGTTTGACCTATATAAGCGGCAACATTCTTCGAAATCCATGTTCAGTAACGATATCAAACATTTCTCTGCATCCCGTATGCGTATCTCAATATTTCAACATTTATAACACAGTAATAAATCTTCTCAATATGGATCGTTTTATTGATTCTGATTTGATGGCCTATGGCCTATTTAGTGTGGATTTTTCTTGTCCTTCGCGTAGTGTCATGGAATAGACGTCGCTAGCGCATGTTCAGGTACGCGCTCAAATATCGCGACCTAGTTTCCTGGCGCAGGCCGTCTCAGCTCATCGTGCATGGCATCCGTTTATAAATAAATGCTATGTTGAGAAAGCACGACCAATATCATATGATACCTTGTTAGAGCCCGCCTGTTGTGTTTAGTTAGTGTTAGCGAATGTATCAAAAACATTTTAGTTGGCTTACACAATTGCACTTGAAAATAGATTGATTTATAAGTACGCTGTACCATTTGCATTACTAAATTGGTTGGCAAACTTTCATTTAGCCCGATTTTGTATTTATTTATTTCAAAATAAATGTAAATATACAATAGTGACGTTTACCCACAAATAGTATGTAATTTCTATTTTGCACTCGTTATTAGTATGACACTGATTCAGGTTATGAGCGCGAGCGATAGTAAAGATAGTAAGGCGCACATATACCTATTTATTCTTATATTATTTCGTTGTTGGTTAAATAGTCAACAGATTGAACAAAATCGTGTGTGAGCTTGAGCGTCTGGCGACCCGACGCTCGATGTGAAAATTTCTCAAGTGGGCACACTCATAGTGCATGATTAAAAAACCCGTCCCCCGGCCTGTGAACCTTGAAGCACTTTGGCCAATTGCCACGCCCTTTGGAGGTACTGGAGCATATTTCAAAACAATCTAAATGGCCTGTTTATAATATTTGAAACGCCTACATAATTTTCTAGTTAGACAATCGTTTATGCCTAATTATTTCTTATTAGATTCAAGTAGGCATATTTTCCAATGCTCCTAGTCTTATTTACAATTTTCTCTGTAACAAAGGCCAGATGTTCAACACTCGCTGATTAAGATACAATAAAGTGCTCATCGCTGTTTCCGCATACGTAACCGTCTTTATCAAGATAATGGCATTGAAACATGCTAACACAGTAAACATTTCCTTGTTTTAAAGAGAGGTAACTGAAGCGACCGTCATTTTCAGGTAGTCACTGGTCGTGGTAAGGTTTACGTATTCACTTAATAACCACTTTACAAACTTTATATTAGCGAGATTTTCTAAAGAAAGCCTCTGCAAGCAGGCATCGACCGCGACGTCGATTAACGGGACACGTCTTTTGTTCAGTTCAGCTTGGTGCCAATCGTGGCGGGTAAAAAATCAACTTATTTAGCGTAGGTAAACTATTTTTAAGAAATAAGTCTCATTAATAGTATTACAACTAATCCGGTTTATGTCTTTATGCGATCGCAGTCCGAGTAGTCTCGGCATTTACCTCGCGAGAATCGGAGGGACGACGCCAACTCAGGCACGACGACGGACGTAGCGCGAGCAGCTCCAATACTTTTACCGATTCAACACAAAACTAACTTCAGACACCTTAATAGACTTGCTGTGAAGTGAGAAATCCAGTTTTTAAAACAATGTACAATAGTTTTTAGGTTATTGATAGAGAACACACGAATTAAAAGACGGCAAAAATAGCTCAAATAAGCAACAACACGACCACTCTCGGGCAAAGCTCGGGGCAGACTGATTTGAGTTTGAGTAGGTACTGTCCCCGGGCGGGTAGAGGGGGGAAGGCGAGGTCTTGTTTGTTGGCTCTTGCAATCACGTCCAAGCAGAGGACGCGATCGCGAGACAGGCCGATAGGTAACGAAACAAGCCGAAGCGCACCCGCCACCCGCTAATCCCGCTATCACCGCTATGCTGTTGTAAAGTGTGGTATCACGAGAGATCGCAGAGACGTACACGTGCGTTCAGCGGACAGCGACGACCTCAACTTGGAGTGCATTATAGTACGTACTCGGAATGTGCAATTGCAAGTATCTTATAGTGTTAGTATAGTAATCGATATAAAAAGGTGTCACGTTTTCTACTAAACTTTTCTAGTAGTTTTATATTTATTTAGAATTATTTTAAACAGCAGTTTTAGTACTTTACTGTTACTGCTAATTGTAAACCATAAAATACCTACCAATTTCGCCAGGTCCAATGAGATTCTCCTTAGATCTTTTACCAATCTATATATTTTATTCTAATTTTTATATTTATTATTTATTTACACGTAGGTAAACCTAAAACATAAGATGTTTCATAATTAAGATCGTGGAACTCACAAAAATTTGAAAGTGCAGTACCTACCTATATATGAGTATGTAGCATGGACGTAATATACAACATGTTTTGGGTAGTGAAATGCTGTAAAAACCGTACTGAAAGTTTCAATCACAAATTTTCAGATTTTATACATTAAAATAAACAGCATTCGCTAGCAGAACATTATAAGCCCAGTGTTCGCAATTTTCACGTGTGCAAATTATCCTAAACAAAGGAAACTTTTGGTTTGTTATTAAAATCAATTTATTATGGTTATTTATTTAATAGTTACTACTAGGTATACTCTTTTACTAAATTTACCAAGGAAAATAGAGTATGGAGAAATGATGGGATTCAAATAATTAGAAATTGTAATGGTTAAAACAAAGACATCACAAATATGTTCTAGAAAAGTTTGTTGGCAATGAAAGCATTTTTTAAACTTAGAATCTGAACATAGATACTTTCGTCGGAATAGAAGACAAAATTAGTCTTATTAAATATGTAGCGGCAAAATATTTAACGATTCTATTTCACCACATCTAGAAATTATAGGAAATTTGAAGAACCTGTCAAAGTAAAAGACATTATTAAAAAAAAATTGCTCAGCATTTGGGTCATTAAACAGTAACAGGAGAACGGCAGATCCTGTACAGCTATTAATATACGATGGATAGTTATGAGATTTGTACCGTTTATAAAGTGAGTCATCACAGTTTTTATTCAAATCGATCGAAAAAATCTGGTAATTAAAACGGTAATTGTTGATGATATTACCAGCCAAATAAATACAACAATGAACCCTACCATGAGATACGCAAGGCGGTAGAAAAGTTTCATACATGCCTGCCATTGTCCTTTCGAACAAATGAAATATTTTTATTTATTGACTGTGTTTTTAGGGCATAAATTTGGGTAACTTGGGAACCCCAAAATTCATTCACACACAAAGAGCTGCCGCCATTATGGTACCTCAGTTTTGTCTCAGCGGGAGGAACTCTACTTTTTTATACGTCCATCGTATGGAGTGTAAATCATAGTTGCAAAGTTCATGACCGCGAAGTTCATGGCCTGGCGAGCCGGGAGGGTTCTAAACCTCTCCCGGTCTCGCCCCGCCATCTCCTTTGCAAACATAACCTGCTCGCAGAAGGAGACGGAGAAGAGTTCCACGCACTCTCGCTCCGCACCATGGCCGCAATCATTTTACCGAGTGAGAAAACTCCCACCCCGATGGCCGCCACGAGGTCATGCCTCTGCTCGACCCACGCCGGGCATTCTGTTAGCGTGTGGAGCGCCGTGTCCACGGTCCGGCCATCGCAGTGGCGTTAGCTCCTTGCGGATCAGACACAGGTGATCCCCCAAGCATCCTTTTCCAGTGATCACCTGCGTCAACCGGTATGAGAGAGTCCCGTGATGCTTCTCGAGCCAATCCTCCATAACGGGTCTTACCGCCGCGATAACGGCGTGCCAAACGCTCGGTTGCCCAAGTCGTTCCTTCCACTCCTCCACGATTACCTGGCGGAACTGGGATTTCTCGAGACTCAGGACTTTGTCCCAGCTCCCGCGCCTCGTTGCGCCACCGATACAGAGCCGCAAGGGCTCTCGCCTCTAGGTCCCATGGTGGAGTTCGCAGCTTCAAATGAGATCGTGCGGTACCCCCTTATAACCCTGATGGCCAGTACTCCCTGCGGTCGTGCAGTAGTGCGACGTTGCTGGCCTTATGTACCTTACGTCCCGGGGCGGTGTTTTTGGCTTCCGTCGCATCGCCAGCTCTAGTTCTACCCAAGTGACCTCAGGCACGTCGTCGTCATTCACGTTAGGCACCTCAGGCACCGGAGACGGAGTCATCTGTGGTGGAGTGTACTAACTCTTAAACCACTCGCGATGGGGACAGGGAGCCGAAGAACCCCTCAAGCAGCTCTGGTTGGAGACACCGGGACAGCGACTAACCGGCCCGCTTTATCGCTTCCTGAAGGGTCCTTTCCGTAACCCTGCACGGATGGCGTAGTGGTTTAAGCGGTCGCCACGCCGCTTACAACTACGCTAAGTGCTGTGGGTCCGATCCCCACATGGGACTACACTTTCTGTGATCCACAAATTGTTTTTCTGAGTCTGGGTGTTCTTTGTGTCCGTTTCATGTATGTTTGTAAAGTCCCCCGCGACACAGGATATACTTATTCCTTTTTTAACGAAAAAAAAACCCTGTATTCCGCTAACAACTCCGCCTCTCGGGCTGCCGCATCCTCGGGGCAGCGACGCCTTCTGCCGAACCTGTACCACCGGCGGCCTGTATACGGAACCGGGCTCCCGTCCGTGTGCCGTATGTTTTACACCGGACGACCTGTATATCGAGGGCCCTGAGGTCGACGTTGACCTTGGCGTACCCCACGCCCCTCTCCGCTGCCTCTGCCGTCAGGGTGACGACGACGGCTGTAGAGCGAGGGGCGCAGAGCCTTTTCGGCGCTCCCGAAGGCCTTTCTAGCCTTTTTGACCGCCTTTTTGGCGGCCTGCCTTACATTTTCTCTTTAACAAATTTTTGTCTGATATCTAAATGCTTTATCCTGCTATTATTTGTAGCCATCTGGGCAATCTTTATAGCTGATTGATAACCTCATATGGTAACAAAAATGTCTTACCTCCCTCCCTACACTTAGTATATAAACAGCTATCTTTATCTGACTGTTTGTAACCCTTGGAAAACATCAAATTATTAAAAGTATTGTTACGTGTTAGGGTTCGTTGATTCGGAATAATAAGTCTTCTGACGACTAAAGAGTCTTTCTTAATACTACACTTTAAGATGTTCACACAATACTCAATAATAGTCAACACTTATATTCACTTCGATCGCTTCGAGGTTTATCGCACTGTAGCCACCTACATGACCTAATAATCGAAACTGCAATCATCGCAGTAAAGAACTTGACAACTTATATCGCAATGAAGAACTTTTGGAACAGAGAACGTCACGATGGTAAATTTTCGCAGTAACTTACATCGCAATGGTAGACTTTCGCTGTAACCTATATCGCAGTAAAGAACATTCGCATCACAGACGCGGTCATGAACTTGACAACTGATTTACTTACACTCTTAAAAAAACAGCAGAATTAGTATTTTTAGAGAATCAATCGTCCGGTTATCAAACATTTCATAGTTTCAAAGATAAAAGGATTATGAAATAAAATAAAAAATTAAAAGAATACCTATTTTATTTTTAGATACTGCTCGCAAACAATGCATTTAAATGTTTTAATACCCCACTGAATAACCTGTAATGAAAGTTTAACGTAAGATTATTTTCAAGTTTACCAAGAGAGTATCCAGTTTCTTGTAAAGAGATATTCCAAGCTTTCTCACCACTTTGTTTTTAACTATGTGTATCTATATTGCTTTGCTTTCTCAGACATAAATTTTCCGTTTATTTAAGTTTCAATTGGTCTTTTCTGTATCATCGCAAAATGCTAATACCAAGTTATTTACTGTTTTAGTTTCATCAACTATTCAGTCAGTAATATAAATATTTAACGGTGACTGTTCGAGAAAATTACTTATACAAAATTAAAAATATGTATTTTTATTTGAGATTAAAACTATAGGTAGTATAATTTATATTAATAACATATTTGATGGAGAAAAAGTCATGGTTATATTTTGCGGTGATCATCTTAACCACAATTCGTTGCATTGCTTCCGTGTGAATTTATTGCAGTTAAAAAAAAAATTGAGCAATTTTGCTTGTTTTGAACGCAATCTATGTTAGCAAATTGTAAAAGTACTTACTTCAAATGTTAAAAATAAAATATTTATAAGTGTTAAAAGATTATTTATCGGCGTTTATCAGCGTCGGGCGATTTTTTTTTATTCCGGGCCCTTACACGTCCATTTAATAATTCTCTTTTTGGCAGTCTGTTGCTTGTAAACGTAACTATGTTTAGGTTTGTTAAATTATTATTTTTTAAATTACTTTTTATTGTCGTTATTCATTATTTACATAAAAATATGATTCTTTGAATTAGGCTTCTTTTCTTTTATTTATTAATAAAGTTAAGACCATTGTAGGCAAAAAAAGGGTGTTGAATGATGATGACAAATAGTTCTATGGTACTCGTATATTTATCTACAAATATGAACTATAGCTTAAAGAATTATTCACGCTACACCGTGTCGCGACCGGAGAATGCCCCGGCCGGGGCACGGTCAAACATTATGGTATACTTTTTGCATGAAGTGATTCATGCCTAATCGTGGCTCAGAAATGTCGGTGGGTATGGTCCTGGCTCCGGCACGGTCCGGCCCCGATACTTTCTAACATGAACATATCGTCCCCGTAGTTGGAAAATTAAATAACTATGATTTTGTAGTTCTAAGATAAACGCGATTCAGTGGTTTTTTTTCAGTTAATGTACATTTGTTAAAAAATGTGAGACAATTTACTGTCGGTAGTTTTATATTTTGTGGACCTGATTACCTTTTATATTTTGCTTTAACAAACTGAACTCTATCTTTAACTATAACAAAATAAAACATTAAAAATCAAGTTGTTTAATTTTGCCACAACTATTATTTATAACGTAACTAAAATTAGCTACTTATTTCGGCTATTTATTTAGTGTTCCTACAAGCTAAATCCATTTGGTAGAGTAAAATTTGGTGAAAAAATGCAGTTATTGAATTTATCAAACTCGAAATATTTTTAAATGTAAAAATAATGTATAATATGTAATAAGACAGAATTATAAATATATATTTCGATATTACCCTCACAATAAATAGTTGACATTGCGTCCTAGACTAAGCAATGGTTCCAATATTACCTTCAATAAGCATTTAATCAAGAGTCACTTGGCTTCCTGCATATTTCAATGGACAAAACAAATAGTCAAACAAAACAAGTAATATTTTATTTCTTTTGTACAAAATTAAATGCGTACTTACCAAGATGACCGTCTTTGATGCTAGCTCCCAAAAAAGTGCCTTAACAGCCATTACATTTCTCAAGAAAACCGAAGTGTTGCCAGTTAAACGAATCAAATCGATTTTTAAAGACAAATACTAATAATCGTTTGATATAATTTATAAAACCTAACAGATGGAATAATAAATATCTTCAGACTAACACAATTTTTTTTAAGGAAAAATAAATAACTCATTGTCAGTAAATAAATCAATAACTGTGGTCAATGATAAGTTAAATGGCAAATAAATTAAATAACATACCTATTAATAATTTAAACCCAAAAAATAACAATAAGGCTCTAAAATCAGAGACCTAATTACAAAAGACATACTTAAGTAGTAAGTAAAACTATGGAAAACTTAAAATAGGTATGTTATATAACTTTTATTTCAACTTACATTTATAATAGTTATTCAAGTGTCACTAATTACTTTACGACAACATGTAAGTACATGTGAGTGGGATTATCGGTTTTTAGTAGGTATTTTAGATACTGTTGCCCTATAAAATTACGTCCCGCTGTTGACGCTAAATATTCTTTAAACGTTTCTCTTACCGCAAATGCATCATTAGCTGGTCTTCCTGGTTGAACGCTCAATGGATTTAATAAATGTGGTTGCGCATTTTGTGCACTATGATTGATAAGCCCTGTGTAATCTTTTTGTTCGCATAAAAAATTATGCAGTACGCATGTAGATAGAATAATGTAATCAACATTTTCAGGAGCAAGTTTCATTTTTCTTTGAAATATTCTAAATCTTTGTGTCAAAATACCAAAGGCATTTTCGACTAGTCGCCGGGCCAAAGACAGTCTATGATTGAAATTCGTTTAATTAGCTTCACCAGTTGCTTGGTGTCCTGGATACGGTCGCATTAGGTATGTTTTCAAAGGAAACGCTTCATCACCAACTTTTACATATGGTGCAAACGTAGAGGAACCGGGTAAATTTTTACCCATAGGTACATGAAGCGTCCCATTTTCCCAAGATTACATTGTGCAAAAATGCCACCATCACTGTTTCGTCCGTAAGCGCCAACATCAACTGCAATAAATTTGTAGCATGCGTCCACTAACGCCACTAACACAATTGAGAATGTGTGTTTATAATTAAAATATATAGAACCACTATTGGCTGAGGCTTCAATAACAAAATGTTTTCCATCGAATGCGCCTATACAATTTGGAAAACCTCTAAGTTTTTCAAAATCTTTGGCAATTTTGCGCCATATTTCTTCTGTTGGTTGTGGTATAACGTCTTTCTTAAGTCTTTTAACGATAGATCGACATGTGCTATGTACAATGTTGGCCACAGTTGAATGGCCCAATCGAAAACTGTACGAAATAGTTTTAAACGAATCCCCAGTAGCCAGGAACCTGAAAAAATTATAATGGGATTATTTCGGGGTATCTATGTACCACAGCGACCTATTACGTATTATCAGTACCATTTATACATGGTATAAAGAAAATGACTTAACTTGTTAATTCTATACTATCTTTTTGCAGACGATGTATGTAAAAAAAGGGTGGCAAACATACGGGACCAGTTCAAAAAACATAGAAACAAACGTAAAACCAAGAATGGACAGGGTGCTGTTGCTATAAAAAAATATAAATATGAAGAGAGCCTGAAATTTTTACTGCCTCATATACAAGATCGAAATACAATAACAAGTATCGAGTCTGATAACGAAGAGACGCAAAACGAAACGGTTACTTCGCCAGTTACTACGCCCGACGAATCAATTAACACCGATGAACAGCAGCAGCAGGAAGATCGCCCACCAGCTATTACTGAACCAAATTTTACGCCACCTGCTGATCCGAATCCAAATCCACCGCCAACTCCACAATTCAACAATTCCAGTCGTATAGTGCCACAATCCCAGTCATCTGCGTCAAGCGCATTAATGGAGTACATTCTAAAAAAGTAAAGAAAAGTCCAACACACAAGACATTTATCCTATCGATGCTTTCTTCAACGGTTTGGCAGCCACAATAAAATCTATTACCCCGTACTATCAGCATCTTGCAAAAGGAAGAATATTTGCAGTAGTACAAGATTTGGAGTGGGAGCAATTGTCAGTAGAGCCTTCTAGTAGACACATCTCCAATGAGTAGAACAACGTCGGCGTCGTCTACTAATTCAACGCCGGTGTATGCACCGGTTCCGATGACTACACCAACGCCAACACCGGAATCAACACCTTCGGAACTTACGCCTTTGGAACCTAATAATTTGTTTACTTTATTTTCAGAGTTCACGGCAGACTAATGTAATGAATAAATACTATGTAAATTATTTAAATTTTGCCTTTTTGCATTGACAGTGCGATTTTGATTATTGAAAAATTGAAAATGAAGTATATAGAAAAAATCGACCCGGGTCGATTTTTTCTAAATACTTCATTTTCAATTTTAAATACTGTGTGATTTTTTTTATATCATAAATTGATAAAAAATCGTTAAGAAATCGACCCGGGTCGATTTTTTTTAAATACTTCATTTTCAATTTTAAATACTGTGTGATTTTTTATATATCATAAATTGATAAAAAATCGTTAAGAAATCGACCCGGGTCGATTTTTTCTAAATACTTCATTTTCAATTTTAAATACTGTGTGATTTTTTATATATCATAAATTGATAAAAAATCGTTAAGAAATCGACCCGGGTCAATTTTTTCTAAATACTTCATTTTCAATTTTAAATACTGTGTGATTTTTACATATCAAATCGATCCGGGTCGATTTTTTCTATATACTTCATTTTCAATTTTTCAATAATCAAAATCGCACTGTCAATCATATCAATCATAAATTGATATTTAAAAAATCACACAGTATTTAAAATTGAAAATGAAGTATTTTGAAAAAATCGACCCGGATCGATTTTTTCTAAACACTTCATTTTCAATTTTTATTTACCTGAGGCAGACTGCTAATCGTTCAATGGCAGATATAGTCTTTTGAAATCTTGTAATTTTTTTGGTTAGGTCTGGTTTTACTTTTTCAGGTAAAAAAGTAAAGCATTCTTTAGGCATCCTAAAATAACCATGAAACTTGCTCTCCTCATGTATTAATTCTTTGTAAAGTAAAGCAAATTCTCCTTCTGCTTCTCGCTTTCTCCAAGTCGGATGTACACCCCCCCATCCCCCCCCCCCCCATCTTCTTTTAGTAGTTTCGCTTCGTTTTTCCAATACTTCATCATCGATGGCAATTGCATTAGCTGCCAATTCAAATTGTGAAAATTCCATATTTACTTAAGCGTCAAAGTCTATCGACAGATGAAATCACTAGCTGACAAAAACCACATAACACAGACACGGCCATGCAAAAGATACACCCAAACAGCCCGGTGTAACATGAATGACAGGCCCGGTCCGGTCGCGACACGGTGTAGCGTGAATCATCCTTAAGCCTATAGTTTTTAATTTTTGTTAAATGTATGCAATAAATAAATGACAGTAATGTGAAAATGCTAAAATTCAAACTTCAGAAGATATACAGAAGGTCAAACTTAGAGTAATGAACACACTGATTTGTCACTTGAATTTTATAATTATGTTTATGTGTAATCTAATTTTATTTAAATCGCATTTGTTGATATCCTTATCTTAAGAACTTAACGGCTCTGAACTAAAACAGAAATCTCGTTATTACTTTACAAGTTTCTATTATTGTTGTAGAATTTTGTCATATTTAGGTTAAATATTAAGTTCGCACTTCTTTGACCACCTAGCTGGGACTGTAAAATCAAATCCGTTATGTAGCAATCAACACGCAACAAAAACTTGAACATGAAACAAATTTCTCTGCGCGCTGCGTTTTTGTACAGTTTACGGTTGAATTGCGTTCCGCGGTATTGCCAGGAAACTCGTTGTTTTACTTTATCCCCGAGTCAGAGAGTGATAGCACAATACTGTTGTATAGCGTTAGCTCCTTTTAGCACTTAATTAAATCCTACGCTGGTTAATGTATTCTGTCGACTTTCTTCACTATCGGGCCGCATTCGCACTACTTTCCGATGTCATTGTTCTCTGTGCACACGTGGGAAGATTTTGTTTTTGTTCTTCTTACATTTGATGCTATACATACATACATTGTTTACTTTGCACTGTTAATATGTAAATAAAAATTTCTAAGTGTTTAGGGCTGACACTTTGATAATGTTATGTAATACAATTTTTCATTGCCATAAAATACCCATAATGAAAGTTTGAAATTTGGCAGGGCGACCATTTCTTGTGGTTTAGCAGCGGAGATTTCGTGGCTAAGATAGTGATGATTATGATGATGATGACTAATTAATTATAACTATTATACAGCTATCTATAAAATTGTGTAGTACCTACACGATTAATAATTTTCCTGCTGATTTTCCAATTTCACTTATAATCTGCGCGATATAGATTAGGTATAACTACTCACATATCACAGCAAAAAGTTTTGGATGGTTTCTTTTATGGCCCTCCGGAGGTCTTCGGCCTTCCTTACGAATGTAACAAAAAGAGTACCTAATGTGGTACTGAATGGTTTTTCCCAAGATTGCTACTGAAAGGAATGGCTAATTATCACTAGTTTTACCTTATTACCAGATGTTATAACCAAATGATGCTTGGTGATGCGGCCAATATGCGCCACATGCTTCTGTGCATAATTTTTAGAAAAACAAGGTGGTAACTATGAAATGTCATGTTAACCATGAGAAAATGTAAAAGTTTTTAGGCCGTCTACTGACTTCAGTTGCCAAACAAATTAATAATTTTGTAGTCGAGAATTTTTACCGTGTTTCTGCAAATTTTAATATTCTGTTCAGAAAGTGATAAAGATTTTACTTGTTGATGTTTTTTATTGTTTTTGATATGACTCACTATAGCTGAAGAAAGTACTTCATACTTGAACTAAGGCTATGCATTTTCCTTTATTGTATTATAGACGAAAATTTCTCTACTATAAAATGTAGGTGTGATATCATTTACATATGACGTTGTTCCGTAGATTGCACGTTATAAATATAACTTTCTATCAACAGTGGAGATAATTAATCTTTGACAAGTAAGTACCTTATCGTAAATTATATTAATACTTAAACAATGATATTCTATTAATGAAGTAGCGGAATTATAATTAAGTCATCACACTAAATAGAAATAGACAGTTAGATATAGATAAAACTTTGATGTTGCATGTTTGATACGATTACATTATAGGCAATTATTGTCATTTATAAGTATATTTGACTATGTACTCTTGGTGGCCTTCTTCATTACTGAAGATCATGTCCATTCTGAACTGTATTGATATTAGCCATCTGTTTCCGCACTGTCCGGTCTACGGCTGATCGGGAGAAATGTCAGTGTTGAGTTCTGATCAGACCATTCAAGGGATATTATAAAGTAGGTACTTATTAATAATAAAAATTAGATTCATCATCATCAAGGGTAGATTCACATTTAGCATTAAAAGATAAATTAAAACTTTGCCCGTCTAAAAACACTCTGCTATACATCGTAATACATAACAGTAGGTACATATGCCAAGCGCAAAATATAAGTAAGTAATCGCAAAAAATACAAAACAACAAATTAATTGCTCGGGTTTTTTATTTTTGCTGCGAGACCTTGCTTGCCGCCAAATTTCACGATTCTAGTTCAATAGGATCTCTATATTTGTTATCTCTATATTTTGATTTACCTTTTTTTATGATAGAGGGGGCACACGAGCAGACGGGTCACCTGGTGGAAAGTGACCATCGCCATCCATAAACGTCTGCAACTAAGGAGTCACAAACGCGTTGCCGGCCTTTTAGAAAGGAGAAAGTTGCGAAGTGATAACATATATATTGGTTTATTGAATAAATATAGAAAGTGACAATTAGGACGAACATGGTACGCGTGTACGTATGCGATAAACAGATAGACGGATAACGAAGTAAACTTATAAGGGTTCCTTTTTGGTTTTAAGGTACCCTAAAAATATTTTTTTGTAACTGAATATTGTCTTTTATTTATTTGATTAACATTACACAATAATACTATACAGGTCCCTGTGCCACAATTTCTGTTATCCAACTTTGTTTGGGCACGTAAGTAGTCAAAATTAAACCGTCTGTAACGTAGGTAAATATTATGCCAAAAATGTTAGGTTTCATCGAGAAAGATCTCTAGAAATGTATAAAGAACGTCGAAATTTTAGCGCTTTAGGTAGGTATGATGTTAAATCACGAGTACACAACAGTGGATCATGCAACGTGGTGTACACGTGATGTTTGTGTACAAATTACGTTCTACTACGATACGGTGGAGTTCGAATGACTACGCGCTAATGATGTTTACATACGAGCATGCATGGAGTGGAACGTTTTGTTCGTAAAAAACAATAATAAAGCACTGCAATTTTTTAGACAAAAGTGTTAAAAACACAACATTGTAAGGAAATTCGTTTGATGATTTCAGTAAAGGATGAGTATTAAAATTAATTGCTACATTTTAATACTTGTAAAAAGCCATTTCGATATTGACAGATTATATCATATATTTGAGACGAGTTTAGAATCGAATGCCGAATTAACCTTCATCGATGAACTGAAAAAACAACTTTTGATTAAGTGCCATCGTAAAGGCGACCATGGATCATTGAACTAATATTACTAGAGTATACATTATAACTCAATGGATGAAAGATGTCATAGTCGTACCTGCAACGAGTGTTTCATACAAGTGACCATAGAAGAAGTGTGTTTAGGGCGAATCATTCTTCGGTGGACTATAATTTGTAGAACCGACCACGGAAGAAGGGTGTTTTCCACGAACAGTTCATCGCTCAACTATAATTTGTAGAACCGACTTCAGACGAAGGGTGTTTTTTCAGCCAACAGTTCATCGTTGAAAGATAATTCATCATTCGATTCTGACTCCCTTGAGACTCCCTTT